TATTCGATATGCCCAAAACAGTAACAGGTCTCACAATTTTTTGTGAGACGTTACTGGTGCCCGCTCGAGCAAATCAATAAACAACGGGAGGACAGTACTACAGTGCTAGTATTTCTAGTCATTTTGTATGAAGACAGTCAGAGATATAATAAGCTTAAAGGTTGGCTCTTCCTGGGGAAGTCTCGTTATATATCCCACACCAAAGTCCTCAGGCCAGGTTAGTCTTTCCCAGCAGGGTCCTTATTCAGTTACTTCTTTTTGGGTCATGAAAGAGTTTGTTCCATGACCATGCTGCTCTTAACTTATACTTTTTATGGCACTTAGCTTGTCCCTTTCCGATGCCAGGGTAACTTACTGCTTACTCTGGGTCTATCCAGTCCCTTTGTCAGGACCCTACTTTTGAAGTACTAAGAATAAGAACTAAGGGCAGCTGAGGCATAAGTCAAGTAAATATGGATGGATGCTAAGGAGTAAATACTACTTGAAGTCAATTAATTCCCATATTACAAAAGCATAGCATGAACTGTTTTCCTGTGTCTATATAAAAAGGACCTTGCTAAACCATGCAAATGCATAAAGAAAAGAGAAAAGCAATATAGGATTATTAGTGCTTGATGAAATTGGGTGTGTCTCAGGGGCACTGTTGTGGAAGTAACTCAATAGACCTAAACTCCCTGCAAGGACAACCCAATGTTCTACAACAATCACCACCTCTCCATTTGCTTTAGAAATAAGGCAAGTTTTCCAGCAAAGAAATTAGGTTTGGAAAGATCTGCATGGTAGGTCCCAGGCAGTATCAGATGGTAACTGAAGGCCACCTCAGCAGGGAGTAAAATATTTCCTTTTCTTGATCGCAGCATATCTTAATTTATGGATAAGTGGCAAGAAAATAAAATTGAGAATGAGAGAAAACACCAGACTATAAGTAACTAAGTGCCACCCATATTGTGAGGTAATACAGGCTGACAGTAATCAGCATGCCAAATCAGAATTCTGCGGGCACAGCTACAATCCCATCAGTTGGGTACTCCCAAAAGACCTCTTGCTCAGCATGCCAGGTAAAGTGTTTTCAGTAATCACTTTCCAAAACCCTTTTATCTATGCCATTGTTTTGCTCTGCTCCTTGCAAACTTTCCCATCTGAGTCTGAGCTTCTCATCACATGTGTTTCTTATTAGAGCCAGGATAATTCAAACACATATTACAGAGCCAATCAAATGCACATGAAAACAAATGACCATTCCTCCCCTCAAGAATGTTTACATTCCAAAATAGAAATGTAGAATAGGTCAATTAAGGACAAAAACAGAACAGAAACCAACTAAAGAAAGTGGAAAGAGAGACCTGCCAAGCTCTGGAGATAAGGTTATAACTAAAATTTGGCCCTGTTTTCTGGCAGTTAAGGAAAAAAGAAAACACGTTATTGCATATTTTCCATTTACTGACAAAAGAAAGTGAAAGAATTATCTTCAAAGATGGAATGTTTTCCTTGAACAAACTACTCAAGAATTTACTCCCCCACTCATAAAATGTGGCCAGTATGAAGCCCATATGAGTAGAAAAAACTGATGAGGATGGGTAAGTTCCAAATATATTATCTGCTGTGTACGACATAGCATGACAAATTAATTTAAAAGTCATAAGAAAGAATTATTCTTGTATTCATTTTTTGTTTATTTGGTTTTTTGGCCATACCTGACAGTGCTCAGAGGTTACTCCTGGCTCTATGCTCAGAAATCACTCCTGGAAGTGTTCAGGGGACCAAATGTGATACCAAGGATATAACCTGGGTCAGCCTTGTGCAAAACCAGTGCCTTAACTGCTATATTCTCGAGCTCCATCTTGTATTCACTTTTATCAAAGAGGAAAGCAGGACAAGAGGTCTATGGAGATGGGAGGACTATGAGGAGATTAGGATGATGGAGTGTACTGGGACTACGACCAAAACTACAACTACGATTGTACTGTAAAGAGAGAGATGGGACTACACTGGGAAGGAAAGAGAAATAAACTTACTACCAACCAGCCTGAGGTCCTGTTTCTCTGTTCCCTGGTTCTTCGTCTGTCTGTCACCTTTGACAGGCCTGGGGAGGGGGCTCTAAGCCACCAAACACTCCAGTCCCATACGCACCCACGTTTTCTCTATTGTGAAAATTCAGGTGATAAGCAAACATAATAACCACTTCATTGTGTCCAGGATTGGACCCGAATATCTGCCGATAAATTATGTGATCGCCTGAAAATTTTTAAAATGATTAGACTGCGAATTCTGAAAAAAAGGATTTATGTAGAACTATGTTAAAGCTTTCTTGCTTAAAAAGATTTATGCTGCATGAGAAAATGTTCTACATCATTAATTATCAGGGAGATGCAGATCAAAACCACAATGAGATACAATCTCACACCTCAGAGACTGGCCCACATCCAAAAGAACAAAAGCAACCGATGCTGGCGCGGATGTGGTGAGAAAGGGACACTCTTTCACTGTTGGTGGGAATGTCGACTGGTTCAGCCTTTCTGGAAAACAGTATGGACGATTCTCAAAAAATTAGAAATTGAGCTCCCATTTGACCCAGCAATACCACTCCTGGGAATATATCCCAGAGAGGCAAAAATGTATAGTCGAAGTGATATCTGCACTTGTTTGTTCATTGCAGTACTCTTTACAATAGCCAGAACCTGGAAGAAACCTGAATGCCCAAGAACAGATGACTGGTTAAAGAAACTTTGGTACATCTACACAATGGAGTACTATGTAGCTGTTAGAAAAGATGAAGTCATGAAATTTATATACAAGTGGCACAACATGGAAAGTGTCATGCTAAGCGAAATGAGTCAGAAAGAGAGGGATAGACATAGAAAGATTGCATTCATCTGGGGAATATAAAGAAACAAAAGTAAAGTAAAGTAAAGGCCCTCCCGTTGATCATCGATTTGCTCGAGCGGGCCCAGTAACGTCTCCATTGGAGACTTTGTTGTTACTGTGTCTGGCATATCAAATACTCTCGGTAGCTTGCCGGGCTCTCCAGAGGGGCGGAGGAATCGAACTCGGGTCGGCCATGTTGGCTGCGTGCAAGGCAAACGCCCTACCCGCTGTGCTATCGCTCCAGAAACAAAACATGAGATTAATACCCAAGAATAGATGAGATCAACACCAGGAGGATTACTCCATAGCTCAGAGGCCAGCCAGGCATTTTAGGGGAAAGGGCAGCTCAGATAGAGAAGGGAGCACCAAATAAAGGGTGTTTGGAGGATCCTCCCAGGAGGGGAGATGCGTGTTGAAAGTAGACTATGGACTGAACATGTTTGCCACTCAAAGCCTCTTTTGCAGACCACAACACTCAAAAGGAGAGAGAGAACACAAGGGATTGCCCTGCCACAGAGGCAGGGTGAGATGGGAGGGATGGGGGTGGGAGGGATATTATCCATGGTGGTGGAAAATAGGCACTGGTGGAGGGATGGGTATTTGATCATTGTATAATCGAAACCCAAGCACAAAAAGTTGTAAATCTACAACTGTACCTCATGGTGTTTCACTAAAAATAAAAAAAAAATTAATAATAAAAAAAATTTATGCTGGGTCTGGAGCAATAGCACAGCGGGTAGGGTGTTTGCCTTGCATGCGGCTGACCCAGGTTCAATTCCCAGCATCCCATATGGTCCCCTGAGCACCTCCAGTAGTAATTCCTGAGTGCATGAACCAGGAGTAACTCCTGTGCATTGCCGGGTGTGACCCAAAAAGAAAAATAAATAAATAAAAAGATTTATGCTGATTTCATAGATTCCTATAAAAATTACCCTTCCCTAGTATAATCAGTTTTGAAATTTTGTGTTTCTAAAAGATCAGCTTGTGCTTTGTGTATTTTTATAGGGACATGGTCTTTTAGAATCTCAGAGATAGGTGACATGGTTCTGCATGCCAGTCTGCTTTCTCTTTTTATTGAACATGCACTTAATGTACACTTTTTTTATGGGGGGAGGGTTGCACCTGGCGATGCACAGGGGTTATTCCTGGCTCTGCACTAAGGGATTACTCCTGGCAGTGCTCAGAGGACTGTATGGGATGCTGGGAATCGAACCCAGGTCGGCTGTGTGCAGGGCAAATGCCCTACCCGCTGTGCTATTGCTCCAGGCCTACTTAATGTATATTTTTGACATGGATTAACAAAATGAGATGACCTACAGGTGAATTTTTTTAAATAATTCTTTTTAAAAAATACTGATTTATTTGAGATTAGAAGTAGTTACTCTTGATCTGAGAATATAATTTATCTTGGGAAAAGTGTAAAAGGATGTTTGTAGTTAAGGATACTGTTTGCTGAACAGGTAACATAATTTCTTACAAACAAATATATTATTTTTTCCTAATCTCACCAAGATTTTATATCAGTATTCATATTGAAATTTACAACTATACGTCTTCATCTAATTAGTGAAAACTACCACCAATACCGTTTGTGGGATGGGGTTGGGGGTTGTTGGGTTTTGATTTCTGAAACATACCCGGATAGATGCTCACGGCTTGCGTACTTGTGACTTTGTATTCAGGAATCACTCCTGTGGGTACTTGGGGAGACTCTATACAGTGCTGGGGGACCAAACTGGGGGTCCACTGCATGCCAGACAGCACTTTAACCCCTATTCTATCTCTCTGTCCCCACCAATACTAATTTTTATGTGACTAGTTCAAGTATTATGATATCACCAAATTAGACTTTTTAAACGCTGGTTCTTATCTATGACAGCTGAGCATTATGGATGACTACAGTGATTCTCTACATTCCAAGATTCTTTTAAGGGCTGGTATTATATTTACTGACCCATAAGAATAAATTCTGGAGTGTACAGAGAGAAAGTACAGGACTAGGCTGTGAGGTCTAGATTATTAGCCACAAATTACGGCATGACAGAGAGAGAAAATGCTCACGGAACTTTATGGACCCCATGAATGACCTCAGCACCTCCTCCTCCTCATCTTTATGCTGTGTTGCTGCTGTTTAGACTGGGAAGCACGCATCGACAGCCACGGCAGGATCTTCTATGTGGACCATGTCAACAGAACCACCACGTGGCAGCGGCCAACAGCTCCTCCGGCCCCACAGGTGCTGCAGCGCTCCAACTCCATCCAGCAAATGGAGCAGCTGAACCGGCGGTGAGCATGTGTGCATTTGCCTCACTGTGCTGTTTGGTGGTGGGGCTCACTTTGACCGGAAGCAAAGCAGAAAATGCCATGTCTCTTTGATCTTGAAGTGTCCTATCATTAAGACCTGGCTCTCACCTCTTTTAGTTTGTAGATTTCATTTATCTTCACCAAGTTTAAAATAAAATAAGATAAAATTAAAATCAAGTCAAATCACCCATCTCCATACACACCATGTTTGGAAAGTGGGAGTGAGTAAGAAATGAGGTATAATAATGACCCTGCCAGCCAATTCAGGCAATGATTTTTAGTAAAACAGAGCATACTTGATAATTTGAAAACAAAACTTTAAAAATGGGTCACACCCAGCGATGCACAGGGGTTACTCCTGGTTCATGCACTCAGGAATTACTCCTGGCTGTGCTTAGGGGACCATATGGGATACTGGGAATCGAACCCGGGTCGGCCGCGTGCAAGGCAAACGCCCTACCCACTGTGCTATCACTCCAGCCCCAAGAATACATCTTTAGGTATTCTTTCTTTTAACAATATAGGGATTTAGTTTTCTTTGGTTAAGGATCACAATTTTTAAAAAAATTATTTAATTTTAAATATTAAATGTTCTACAAACCACCATAAAGAAAATATAATACAATACAATTTACTTGAATGAGAAACATCCAAAAAGAGAGTCACGGGAGGGGAATTTGTGGAGCAGAAGAGTAAAGCTAAGAGGAGAGGGAAACCTGTCTGGGCCCATGTTTTTGAGGCTGTAGTAACATAACTCTAGGTTCGTGATTTTAGATATCAGAGTATCCGCAGAACCATGACTAATGAAAGGCCTGAGGAAAATACCAATACTATTGATGGGGCAGCGGAAGAATCTGACTTTCACCAAGCCAGTGCAGGTAAGAGCCTTGGTTTGTTTTATCTCCATAATGTCAACAAGAGCAGAAAACAAGTTAGAATATATGTATATATTTGCATATAAGGATATATGCAAAGTGAAGCTTTTCATTAAGTAAATTACTGATCTTAACATCCATTTGGCAATGCAACACAAAATGTCCAATTCACCAGAAACAGCTTCTGATCCTCCACTTTTTATAAAATAATAAAAAGTAATCACAAAACCTGTTAAAAATATAAACTGCTTTAATTTCTGGGTCCCTGGACTAGTACCAGTCAATAGATTAAATCTGATACCTTGGAAAGCCCCAAGTTACAAGGATGTAGGTGAGTGACGGAGCACATATCTCACATGTGAGATTCCAACCTTATCACCCTTTACCATACCCCCCCACACACACACCCCTAAGGATACATTTAAATGTTGTTGTTAATAGTGACTAGAAATATTATTCAATTCTGTCTTAGTATAGTTAAGAACAGTGAGGTGTCATGTATACATTTACAGCAAAGAAAGGGCAGTTAAAGTCATTGCATATAATAAGGAATTCTTTGTTGTTTTTTTTTTTAAAAAAAACTCAAAGGTAAAGAGGCATATTTTCACCTTGTGGGGAAAGTTCCTGAAATTTTTTGTTCTGTCCCATTAGATTTCCGCCGGGAGAATGTTCTGCCCCACTCTACCTCCAGATCCAGGCTCACGTTGCTGTTACAGTCTCCCCCTGTGAAGTTCCTCATCAGCCCAGAGTTCTTCACCGTGCTGCATTCTAACCCTGTGAGTATGAGCAACTGTGACAGAAGAAGAAAAGAGGCAAAGGAAATTCTCCCTATTTGTAGTAATAGAAAGGAGGAGAGTAACTCACAGTTACTGAGCACGTGTTCAGGTTCGGTACTAAGCACTGTGTATATTTTCACCTATTTAGTTCAAACAAGCCTATGAGATAAATAAAATATTAAATTTTTTTCCAGATGAAGGAACTGAGGCAGAAAGAGGTTAACTAGCATGCCCAAGGTTATCTGGTGACTAAGTGGTATCTGTGGAGTTAAAATCCCAGAGATACTCCAGGTATGCAGGTATACTTGCAGTAACCCCTTATTTGGTCAGCGTAAATAAAACCAAGTATCGAAGCATTGGAGGTAAGCAGCTCTGAGGTGGCAGCGTAGGTTCTCTGACACAAGGCAGATCAGATCCCATTATAGTAATCTGAAATATGAAACAATTAATTGAGTAATCGTTTAAAGATATATGGATTATATGAAAGAGATTAGAATTTTGGGGGCAAGGGAAGCATGATACAACATATACATACGTATTTTTACTTAAATATTTTAATTTAAAAATGCGGTTTAGGCCACGTCTAGTTGTGTTTGGGGCTTGAGCAGAGGGAACCATGTAGAGCTGGCATTGAACCCAGGGCTTGAACCCTGGCCCCAAACTGTGTTCTGCCCTCCCTCTGGTTTTGCTAAAGAACAAGAATGTTGATGTCAGCCAAATTAGGTCTTTCCTAAGCTAGAAAATTATAAGAAAGTTCAGTCTTTTAATCATTATAAAGGACTCATTTTGCTCTTTCTTTTTTTAACCTGGTTTTCTTTTTTTTTTTTCTAGTCCTAACTTTTAACCATGATTTTATATTAGGGTTTTATGCATACAACTTTGCAACACTACCCCCTTCCCCAGTCTGTCTGCTTTCCTCCACCATTATTCCAGGGTCTTATTCCCTTCCCCCTACCCATCTTTGGTAAGTTCATAGAGCAGTACTCAATTATAAGAAAAGATGAAATCATGCACTTTGCCAGTACATGAGTGGAACTGGAGAGTATCGTGATAAGTGAATTTAGAAGGAGGGGAGCAGATATATAATGATCTCGCTCATAAATGGGAATCTAAAGAAACATAGTAAGGGGATAACAATAGTCTAAAACATACTTGTGTTTAAAAGTTGATTGTCTAAAGCTGGAGAGATGGCTCAGAGGGAAACTCATGACCCCATGGTTTGATCCATGGCTCTACATGGTCCCAGAAGCTCCAGATTGGAATAACTCCTAAACATAGCTGGTGGGAACCCAAATCAAAATAAATAAAGGGATCGGAGCGATGGTACAGCAGGTAGGGTATGCTGGCCTTGTATGCGGCTGACTTGAGTTAGATCCTTGGCATCCCCTGAGAACTGCCAGGAGTGATCCAGAGCCAAGAGTAAGTCCTGTGTATACTGCCCGGTGGGTCTGCCCCCCCCCCCAAACCAAAAAGTAAATAAAATAATTTAATTAAATAAAACTTAATCATCTCTGGGGCTGGAGGGTTACTTCAGCTTGCCTGGAATGCAGCCAATCCAGGACCAATTCCCAGGACCACACATGGTTCCCTGAGCACCACCAGGAGTGATCACTGAGCATAGAGCCAGGAGTAAGTCCTGAGCACCTCCTGATGTAGTTTTCAAAACAAACAAAAAATTATTTTCTAGTCTTTCTTATTTTTTGCTTGGATTGTTCATTATCTATACATTTTCTCATAGATTCTCTTTCTATTATTGACTTGCAAAAGGAATAATTTTTCTGTTGATCTCAAACTTTTTATGATTTGATAAGTTGATGCTTTAAAAATTCATAAGAAAAAGGTTTCCTGTAGAAGTAATTCATTCCATAGCATATATTTAAAACGAGTCAAGTAGATATATGATCGCCATAACTCTCAAGAAAAACTTTTTTCTTTTTTGCCTTGTGGTTGTTTTAGGATGTATTCTACTGCCCTCTACTGGTTATGATTGAATTTCTTCCAGAATTGTCTTGATAACACTTGACTCTGGAATGAAGATTTAGTTATTAGTGTCAATTCTTTAATAGTTTGGTAGGCTTATCTTTGTCTAATTAGTGTCATATTTAAATATTTTATATTGAATGAAACTGCATAATGTTTTTTAACATACTTACCAAAGTATTTGCTCTGGCTTTTTCAAGTCTAGAGCAGTCTGTGGGGAGGCACTTTCTGTTTATGCTCTTAAAGAAAGTAAAATCCAGGGAAGCACTTAGTAATTTTTTTTACCCCTAACGATGGTGATACAGAAAATAAGTTCAAGAAACTCTGTTCTAGAACTTCTTAATTCCAGCTTCTGAAGTCATAAATAGATCATGAAGAACACTTCTGTTTCAGAATGCATAGATAGGATCTCATAAATCAGAAATTCCTATTGCACAATACATGAGTTGATAGTTTAGTTTTTTTAATTAATAAGTTTATCCTTCCATTTTTATATATAATGAGATGAAAGCAATGTAAAATCCTTTGTGATTAGAAATATTGTAAAGACAAATCTTATAAGAGATAACTATTTCTGTGTTTAGGGATACATCTCATGGAAATAACTGTTCATTCTTTATAATAATTTTTGATTTATGAATAGTGTATACAAATACCTATAAATACCCTTGTTGATATGAAGCAGTTGCTATAAAATCAATGACATTTTCTGAGCCTGAATTTGTGGTATCTAGACGAAGAACTTCTGAAATATTTTATTTAGCAATAATATACTAACCTGTATCATTGCAAAGAACAGAATTGGCTGAAATCTAGATTGGGTCAGATAATCCAGAGCATAAGGTCACTGTAGCGTCATAAAAAACTACTCAAAAATGAATAGATTGATTATAGCACTATAACACTGTCCTCCCGTTGTTCATCAATTTGCTTGAGCAGGTACCAGTAATGTCTCCTTTGTGAGACTTGATGTTACTGTTTTTGGCATATAGAATATAGCTATTAATTGAAAAGAACTGAATGCAGTTTATGTGAAGTTTTCTTATTCAACTGCCAAATTATAAATAACATCTAAATTTTTTTCAAACTTTTCACTTCTTAATACTTAAAACACAAAAGACAAAGCACATTAAATCCTTAGTAGAGTTTCTCCTGCAAAATTCCAAAAAGAAATTGAACGCTCATTCATTCAGCTTATCTTTTTATTTTCTTTTTTTCTTCTTTTTTCTTTTATTTTCCTTTTCCTTTCCACTTCCTTCCTTCCTTCTTTCCTCCCTCCCTCCCTTTCTCTCTCGCTCTTTCTCTTTCTCTCTCTTTCTTTCTTTCTTGAGTCACATAATTCAGAGTCTTTCTTTCCTTCCCCTTTTTTGTCTTCCCCTTTCCCTTCTCCTTTCCTTTTTTCTTCTCCCTTCCCTTCCACATTTGTCATGTTCTTTCCTTTTAAATAGGTTTGAGGCCCAAAAGATAGTATAGGGATTTGGTTGCTTGCTTTTCATGCAGTTGACCCTGGTTCAATTCTCACACCACGTGCTGTCCCTCCTGAGCACCACCAAATTAAGTGTGGCCAAATTTAAAATATTTAAAAAAATAAGAAGAATGGTGTAAATCACATCACATTTTTAAACCACTTTTAGATCTTTAGAGATCACTTCATGGAACTTTGTCTGCTTTAACAATTGTCAACTCTCGCTTTACTCTGAACGCCTGAGGAGGAAGCAACATCACTCTATTACCTATGCACTATAAGGTTATATTTTGAAATGAGTCCCATTTCATAATCTACTTCAGGTAGAAGAAAAGCCCAGAGGTAGAGGGAAAAAAAAATCTGTTCCCTCTTAACCTATAGCTTTGTCCTATTAGCATCCCTAAAGTCTAAGCACTTTCATTCTGATTCCACTCTTCAGTGTTTCTTACTATGTAGGACCTCTCTCCCCGTTAGTGTCAGTTCTGCTAGTTCCTTTCTTGGGGGGCAGGAGTACAACCCGTGGTGCTCAGGGCTTACTCCTAGCTCTCTGCTCAGGGATCACTCCTGGCAGGCTCAGGGAGCCATATGTGGTAAGGAGGCCTGGGGGTTGAACCCTGGTGGGCCATGTGCAAGGCAAGAGCCCTTTGCACTATCTTATCCCTCGGTCTCAGTTCTGATAGTTCTCCCAGTGAGTTTCAATATTTTCATTGCCACTATGACCTTTGTTTCCAAACTCTACTTTTTGGCTCCAACCTCTTCCTCCCACTGCCTCCATTTTTTTTTCTTTTTCTATCCTTCTGAGTGATCACTGCTCATTTCTGTAGCCTCAGGGATCCGCAAAGGACTTGGCAATGAGAAGTTAGGGGATCTTTCTTCAAGTAGTAGAAAGTGCGATATTCACCCTAGATCTTCAAAGACCTTGAAACTAGAAAACACATTTTCTACTATTATTTATCTATTATAATAAAGATTTAGCAGATATCCCTTAGTCTTTTTACTTTCTTCTACTCTGTGTTTTTATAGAGATTGTTACCTCTTAAGTTACTTTTATATGCTTTCTTTGCCGCATTTGAATCTGACATGCCTATGAAGAAAGCAAGACAATTCTTATTTCACTTTCTACTAGAGCAACCTGAGGCAGTTTGAGAGTAAGTGACTTTCTTTGACTTTGTTCCTGAGAGTCCAGAGCTGTGACTACAATCCTCACTGCAGCTTCATATGAGCGGTAGTACAGATATCCTTTCTGGACAAAGAACCTATGTAGGCAAAAATAACATACATTAAATAGATCATATAGAAAGTATATATGACATATAAACAAATACGTAACATACAATATATATTGCTATAAGCATATATATGCACATATCATTTTAAAAGATGTGGCAACTTAAAGTTCCCATTCGTCTCCTTCAAACTGCATATTGTTCAGACTTGAAAGTTATAGTTCTAAAGGTTGTTTGCTTGTTATTAATGAGAGAAAGCTCTCTCGGACTTAATTTACTTTGGTAGATGCTTTTTGCAAACATTAGTCAACTTGGCAGTAGATTGCATGTCTCACTGAGCAGAAAGGAGGAAGATGAAAGGACATAATTAATTATCAGACCAGCTTTAAGACTCCTGTGCTTGAAGAGCAGAGAGCAACCCCAGGGAATTACTTCAAGCCTGCGGCAGGGCCCAACTCTTTCACCTAATTACCACTGCTTTTCGCCCTAATGAAATGCTGCTGCTGTTCTGTAGCTAGGGAGAAACATTTCTGGTGCTCTAGATAGACCAGGGTTTCTCGACCATTTTCTCACTGTGGCCTCCTTCCAAACTTGTTTTCTTCCTATGCCCCCCTACCCCCCACCTCCTGTCTTAATGGCTTTAGTCTCATACCAAAGCCCCTGTGGAGGCCCACGGGAATTCATATGGCCCCTGGTTAAGAAGCACTGCTCTAGATAATTAGAATGTGACCTGTTTACTTATGTTAATGAAAGAGAGAGTGACAGGACGAAGAGATACACCCATTTAGAACAACAGTTACCGCAATGATTTACCTGGCATAGTTGTTCCATAAAAATTCGTCCCTGTAGGGACTTGCTATGGAGAAGACTTAAAGCTCATTACTGTCACCGTCTCATAAGCTACTGTGATCTCAGGCCCTTTAGCTTGCAGTGGTTTAAGTGAAAATTTATCCAAGACATGGAACCAGACACAGAAGACAGATGTCTTGCTGATTGTGCTGAAAACTTCACAGCAGGGTCAGCCAGAGGCTAACCTGTTAGTTAACTAACATTTGTTTCTGACAACCTCTGGCTTTGGGGTTTTTTTTTCCCCCTCATCATTATTAGTTTCCTTCTGTGTTTTTGTAGTATAACTTTCTTATTCTTATGTTCTCCAAGTGCCAAGAGCCCTGCATAGGCCTGCCGGCTTTGGCAGTACACTGTGCTCTGGTCCACACATCTCTCACAGCCATCAAAATCTTTCATTTATACACTCAGGGTAAAACAGCCTCAGAAATACGTGATATTCAGGTATAGTAAGAACAGTAGAATTTGCACATAATTCTATGTATTTTCCCTCTTCCTTTCTTCATTTTGATAAGAAAAAAATATCTTAATGAAGAGTGCAATGAATGTAATCCATCTGAACACTGATTAAAAGTTATTTTATATTGTTAGGATATGCATCAAAAATGGTGACCAAGAAATCTCAGTAAATGAGTTGTAGAGATAGTATAAGGATAGGGTTTGCACACAGCCTGCCAACTGGGTTTGATCCCTAGCATCCCATATGATCCTCTGAGCACTGCCAGGAGTATTTCGTGAGTACAGAGCCGGGAGTAATCCCTGATCATTGCCATGTGTGACTCAAAAATAAAACAAAACATCAACCACTTAAAATATCGTAAAAGAAATCTCAGTGGCTTGGGCTAACAAGGTTTGTTTCTTGTTTGCGGGGAGGTGAGGGGAAACTCCAAAGTGGTATTCCCCACCACTACCCCTACTTCTACTTCCTGCCTCCACAATTCTCTGCCACAGTACAACTGCCAACTAGAACCAAGGACACGATGTTTCTGGGGCCCTGCGGTGCTAGGGCTACCCTGGTAGTTCTGGGGGCCTTCAAGGCTGCATCTGGGGATACTCAGGGGCCACATGATGCCAGGAATCAAACCTATGTGGGTGCAAGCCAGGCATGTGCTCAAACACTATGCCATTTCCAGGCCCCACGAAGTTTGTTTCTTATTTTAAAAGTAGGTTGTTGGTATTCTCTGATCCGTGTAGTCACTTGGGGACCCAAGGGCTCAGGCTGGGGAGCATTGTCACTCAGATTTGTTGCTGGCTATGCTTACTGTGCTGAAAAGCTGGCTGCTCTCCAGGCTCTTACATTGTCAGCAAGCAGTTTGGCCAGACAGAATACATCCTGAGGGTTCCTGGGACACGGGAGCAACATTGACTTATCTTCATACACACCTCGTCTTTTGTTTTGTTTTTTGGGTCACACGATGCACAGGAGTTACTCCTACCTCTGTACTCAGGAATCACTCCTGGCAGTGCTCAGGGGACCACCTGGGATGCTGGGAATCGAACCCTACCCACTGTGCTATCGCTCCAGTTCCACTCACTCGTTTTTTATAAAAATAATAGTCCAGCACTGGGCACAGCAAACACAGTCAATGTTGATTTAAATGAATTGGTTTCCAGAGATACTGGCTTCTTCTAGGTTTGCCTGGGTCTTGCATAGACTGAAATAAACAGCAATAGCAGTCTTACATTTACTTTGTGAAATAAAGTCTGAAGCCTCTAGGGTCTATGTAGTGTTCCTGGGATAAAGGTAAAAGTGGTTCTGTGAAAATAATTGAATTCCAGGAGAGGTAGTCCTTAGCTTGGTCAGTTCCATCACTGCCGCTTTCTGCTGCGGATTCAAGGAAATCACCCTATAAAGTTACTCCTTTCTGGGGCTTGACACATGGTATTGTGCAATGAATATTTGTGGACTGACTCATAGCTTGCAGTCAGTGTTTGTAATTTTCTTGAAGTATCATAGAGACATTGGAGATTTTGATACAACCACTTTCTTTATGTAGAGATATAATAGAATTTTGGGTTTTTTTATGTTTATTAGTTTGTGCTTTTGCTTTTGGGTCATATCTGGCAGTACTCAGGGGACTGTATGGGATGCTGAGGATCGAACTCTGGTTGGCTGTGTGCAAGGCAAATTTCCTATCCACTGTATTATCGCTCCAGCCCCTGTAGAGTTTATTAACCGTGCCTTTCTGTCATATAAATGCAACCATATATATTCGGGGGAAAAGGAGAAAAAGAAATAGAGTGGGGCATCTAGTCCAGGCAGCTCTACTGACCCTTCCAATCATTGAGCTCACTTAGGCCTTCTGGGAGGTGTGAGATGGGAAACCTCTGTGGTGGCCGAAGGTGAAAGTGACAGTGATATCGCATGCTCTTCTTTTCTGTTACTGCTCTTGGGGGTGGGGAGGAGTGGGGTGGGGTCACCACCAGGACCACACCTGATGATGCCTCAGGGCCTCCTCATAAATGAAAAACATGTGCTCTGTTCCTTGAGCGTCATTCCCAGCTCTGATTGCATGTACTTTTATTTTCCCATCAAGCCAGGCACCTCAATAAAGCCCACAGACTGCTTTATCTTGCACTCCCCTGAAGAAACAATATCTGTTCCACTGCTGGCAGAGAAACTGGTGATTTGGGGGCTCTCTGTGAGGTATTGCATTTGTGGACCGATAGCACAGTGGGTAAGGCATTTGCCTTGCATGCAGCCCACCCAGGTTCAATTCCTCCATCCCTCTTGGAGAGCCCGGCAAGCTACCGAGAGCATACCAACTACGTGGCAGAGCCTGGCAAGCTCCCCATGATCTATTCTATATGCCAAAAACAGTAACAACAAATCTCACAATGGAAACGTTACTGGCACCTGCTCAAGCAAATTGATGAACAATGGGAGTACAGTGCTACAGTGCTACATGGTATCTTTAGGACCTGCGGCTCCCTTGGGGGAAAAGATTCCACAGCATTCTTTTTAGATAACCAGGCATGATCAGATTCTCTTACTTTCTGTAAACGGTCTTTCTATTTTTATTTTGAATAGAATATTTTCCTGTTGGCTGTTTGGATTCAAGTAGCCCTGAGTCCTGTCTAGCCACCTGAGCACGCCACTCACCTGTGGTTAGTACCTGCACTGCCCTTGTCCAGACACCCAGTTAACACTGGTTCTCCGTCCTTCTCTCCAGAGTGCCTACCGCATGTTTACAAACAACACGTGTTTGAAGCACATGATCACCAAAGTCCGGCGGGACACCCACCACTTTGAACGCTACCAGCATAACCGGGACCTCGTGGGTTTCCTCAACATGTTCGCGAACAAACAGCTGGAGCTGCCGAGGGGCTGGGAAATGAAACACGATCATCAGGGCAAGGTAACAGGAGGGCGCTGCTGTGTGGAAGCTGCTGAGTGACAAGCCTGGGCTTTGGCTTTGGCACACAGACTGAAAACTGTGTGAGGACAAACATCTCAAGCTCTGGTTCAAGTGAAACCAGGACAGCAGGTTGTTTAGGACAGCAAACAGCCACTACGGCATTTTGAGTTCCTGTATGCAACAGGCAGCGTTGAGGGCTGTTGTTTGCACAAACATTCTGTTTTGCCTGGATATTCTACCCTTAATTTCTTGCCACTTTCTGCTATTAGAGCAAAGGCTTCTTAGGCAGTGACACTTTTTTCACTATCACCCTATGTCTTATGTCCAACATGTAAAGAGTTGATTAAAAAGCTATAGCGTTGTTTGGAGCTGAAAGGTAGGTCATTGACCTGGACACACGTCTTTGTGACACTGGGTTTGGGCCTCAGTCATATTGGTTCGGAACCTTGATAGTTGTTAGCACATTAAACAATACTCAAAATAATTTATGAAGCGAAGTATGTGTCTGCCTCAGTGCCCACAGTAACCACATCTATGCTTCCTTTCTAGACAGATGAACCAGGAAGCTGCATTATAGCCAGGAGGGTATAATAAGAAGTCAGAATGAGAAAGTTCATAATTTTTTTTAAATAACTTTTTTTTTCTTCAGTCACTTAGGCAGTGTTTGGTTTTTCCTTTTATTAAATTTTTAATTAATTTATATTTGTTTATTTATTTATTGCTTTTTGGGTCACACCCGGCGATGCACAGGGGTTACTCTTGGCTCTGTGCTAGGAATTACCCCTGGTGGTGCTCAGGGGACCATATGGGATGCTGAGAATTGAACCCAGGTTGGCTGCGTGCAAGGCAAACACCCTACCCGCTGTGCTATTGCTCCAACCCCAAAAGTTCATAATTTTTTATCAGGTGTTTCTAAGCTTTTATTTACATCACTCTGGTTCTGCACCAGTTATAAGCAATGCATTAAGATCTTCCTGTGGGTACACTTAGCACAACTCTGTAAGAAAGTACTGCAGTTAACATCATGGCCATTCACAGGTAAGGGGCTGTGGTCTAGAAAAGTTCATGACTTGTCCAGTGTCACAAAGACAGGAGTAACTAAGCTTTGCCATAACTGGTGCTGGAACCTCCAGTACTACAGCCTTGAACTTGGGAGTCAGATGGTGTCAGGGATTAACTGGGGTCCTGTCCCTGGTCCCTGTGCTGCTTGAGTGTGCGCTCTCTCTCTGTCTCTCTCTCTCTCTCTTTCTGTCTGTCTCTCTCTGTCTCTCTCTCCCCCCCCGCCAAGGTGTTCTTTTTAAACTTACAAATGTTTGTTGTGTCATTTATGAATGATGACTACAATGTTTATGGTATGCAGCAAATACCAAGCATTTTCTCTTTTGAAAATACTGTTTAACAGTAAAACATTAGCCATTTCCCCATGTTAGGTCTGGTGTTAGGTCTGACGTCAAGTAACAAACCAGGGTGTTAGGTCTGAGGGCAAGTAACAAATCTGTTCCTCTAATCATGAAAAAGACTGGAAGGTGAGGAGAATTAAAAGGACATATATAAATGATATATAAATGATTTAGTGATGCTGGCCCATTTAGTCAACAAATATTTACTGAATACTTACGCAAAATAGAGAAGCCAGCTACTATATACTTTATAGCAATGCCCTATGGCAAGGGAGGAGCAGAAGACAGACAAATACATGGCATGGCATGCCCTCTCTGATTTAAGCCACAGCTTTAAAGAGAGCATGAAAGGGATTTAGAGAAAGGTGTGAAGGTATGTTTTATCTGGAAAAGAGCTTACAAATAGGGCCAGAAGGGAACAGAGAAGGAAAGAAGTGAGGAGGAAGCCACCTGGGGGAAGAGCAATCAAGGCCTGTGGAATGTGTAAAGAATTCACATTCCAAATGCCACCTCCCCCAAAGTGCCCTCCAGCAACAGCAAATTTACTCATCCTGGATTTAGCTTCTAGCACTCTTAACCTGAGAACCCAGCAGCTAAGTGTCAACCAAGTTGTTACCAAAAATATGAATTTTAATACCTGGGAGGAGCCCTTAAACTCTCACTGAAACTATTGACTTGATTTCTGCAAAACTGTTGTTATTGTTGTTGTTGTTGTTGCTGCTGTTGTCGTTGTTGTCTTTGGGGAGGGTCACCCCCAATTTACTCCTGGCTTTGCTCTCAGGGATCACTCCTGGCAGTACTGGGATGGGGATGGGGGTGGGGGTGGAGATCATTACAAGTCCAGGTTGGCTGCCTACAAGCTAAGTACCCTACCTGCTCTAGGATTGATTTCTCCAGCACCACTTCAGGGCTTTTAAAATAAAACTTGAGTTCCCAGCCCGGAAAAAGATGAAAACTGTCAAGCATGATATTTAAAAGAGGAAAGATTGTGTTTCTGATTGTGTCCCTGCCCCACAGGTGAAATGACAGCGTAGCTTAGCGTGGGGTTTGAGGGGCACACCTTTTCAGAACCATGGGAAACTGGAAACAGGAACTTTGATTTTTGTTTTGTGTGTGTATGCTCTCTCCTTCCAGAAGAGAATGTTCAGTGGCTGAGTTTGGTTCGATAGGCTAATGTTTGTCAACATTCTACCGAATGGAAGGACATTTGTAGATTGTCCGACTGAGGACTGAAGAAAATACTGATAGTATTATGCCAGGGTATGAAAAAATCAGTAGCCTGTGCAGAATTCAGCTTTGCTCCCAATTCTGACAGAAGTTTTATCTGGTGTCATAAGGTGCCAAGGTCTTTAGAAAAGCATAGGTCCAGGGAAAATTCAAGTTGAGATAATGTTGTGTGTTCTTGTGCTTTATGTGGAAGCTCAATTTTCAAAGTCATTGTGTCCTTAGGGAAAGGTAGCAGAGATCAGATCATCCACACGTGGAGGCAGGGAGTATTGCCTGCCTAATTTGCCAGGCCTACTTTTTTTTTTAAATTTTATTGAATCACCATGAGATAGTTACAAGCTTTCATGTTTGGGCTACAATCGTTTGATCATTGTGTATGATCAAACACCCATCCTGCCACCAGTGCACATTCCCACCACCAATCTCCCCAGTATGCCTACTTTAGGAGAAAGGGTGTCTTATAATAACCCCTGAACCTAGAGAAGTATTTAAATTATCTTTGGGTACCGCTTAGTAAGACTCACAGTGTATCTGAAGAAACCAAGTTTTTTCCTCTTAGTTTTTCTAAGTTTTGATGGCAGAACAGCAGGAGCATAGCTCTTATTCCTTAGGAGGGAGTGGGGTGGCTTCTCTGTGTAGGCTTCCAGAGGAACCCTGAGTAGGGGCAGATAGCGCTGACATCACAGCTGGCTGGTGACCTTGGATTAGAATGCTGCTTTGCTGTGGGAGAGCCCTCGAAGGACGCCCTGCCTTGCCAACTAACTGGATTAGCAGGTGAAGTTAAAGGTTTATCACTTTGACCTAAATTCTCTCCTTGAATCAGGATTTTAGTAAAACTTTTAGGTAAGCCGAACACCTTGACTGAAGCAGGTGTTTCTGTCCCAGCTACCCCGTGACCTACCTTTTGGTCACCTGAAAGAATTTAAAGGAGAGGCTCATGGTGTTTCCGTTTGGCTGTGTGGCCCTTGCCTGCACTCTGAAACCATAGCTCCCATCCTCCAGGAAGGTCATACGTTCGCTGCCACCCATGAGTAGGCTTATGGTGAAATTTTAACCCCATATTTTTAATCAATTGCTTTGTTCCAGAACATATAAAGGGAATAATATTAGTGTTTTGTTCCAAGTAACATGCCATTAAAAACTATTAAATATTACAAAGTTATTTTTCCCACAGTGATGACATGTCCAAATCCTCAACTTCAGGAAAGGAAATGATTCATAAGAAATATGTATTCAAACTTAGCTCCTTGGGCTTACAAAATTTGGCTCCATCTGGTCTCCACTACACCATCTTCCTTTTGAGTCTGTATTTAGTCATTCACCGCAGTGCTGAATGCTTGCTGTTTGTGTGCCCTACGTTGCCAACGAGAAAAGTTAATGTAGCATGTGTCATATAATATTGACTGTGCTAGACACTCTTTTAAGCACTTATAGTGGTTCCATTCATGCTCAGTCTACACAGGTCTTGTAGTTAGCTGTCCATACTTCTGTCCATGCTTGTAGAAGAGGAAACTGAGTCACAGCATGATCATGTGACCATGATCTCACAATTAAGTAGTACTAGAATTGAACTATAATCAAAGCATCCCAACTCTAGGGTCTAGAGTGATAGAACGGCGGGTAGGGTGTTTGCCTTGCACTCGACCAACCCAAGTTCGATTTCCAGCATCCCATATGGTTCCCTGAGCATGGCCAGGAGTAACTCCTGAGTACATGACCCAGGAGTAACCCCTGTGCATTGCCCGGTGTGACTCAAAAAGCAAAATTAAAACAAAATAAATTAAAAAGCGTACCAACACTAGAGCTGTGCTCTTATTTTTATTTTTTCACCTTTCACTAGTAGTTGAGATACATGGGTATAGTGGCAACAATGGTAGTAAAGGGTGCTGTAGGAGGCTGTGGTGGAGTTTCCCACCATTTTAATGAACATGTGTGATGAGTAGCCTTTAGCTCTCTAGGTGTGATTTTCTAGAATCCCCACACAATTTTACTTGTATTGTTTTATTACCTCTGTCCCCATCTGTCTTATTGTATGACTGTTAATCTCTCCTAGAAGACAATCCATTTGTTTCTTGAAAGTCTTAAATTTTTCTATTTTAATGACCCCCTTCTTCTTTCACTACCACTTTTGAATGCTTTTCTCAAAACAAGTTTGATGAATGAAACCTGTTACCTGTAGTGATTTCTGTTTGGGGGCAAACAAAGAATCTGATAGGTCTCTCCCCACTCCCATTCCTTCCTCCTCGTCCTCCCTCCCGTGTTCTCACCAGAAGTAGCTCTTGGCTGTCCCTTTGACCTCTCTTAATGCATTGTTGTCTTGAAACTTTTTGCATTACATGTTTGAACAAGGTAGTGATTATGCTTGAACTGCAC